TATACACGGCACAACGGAAATGTACAACAGAGCAGCCGAGTAATGCGCATAAAAAAGGGGGCGGCGTGCCTTCTTTTCGGTACCAGCTGCTTATGCCCCAGAAAGGTCGACGAGAGACACCCATTTTCTGAGCCGAACTCCCCATATTATGCCGATGATCTCTACGTTCGCATTATCTCTCTCTCTCTCTGCTGTATACCTTTGTGTTGTTGGTCACATGCATACGAAACCATACGATACGCGCGGCATGGAACTACAAACGAACAAATCAGCATCAGTCGCTCGGCAGCCAAATCCCTCAAGCGGCCACAACGCATCAACCCAGAGGCTACATGCCCACTAGCACACGCGCACGAGCGAACCCCCCTGTCTTCTTGCACCGATCGACCCCCCTCCCTACAAACCACTTAGAGGAAGATCGAGGAGAAGGAGATGCATTGTACACAGATCGAAAAGAGAAAAAAGAAAACAAAAGAATCATCACTTGCGCAAAAAAAAAAGAAAAACGACGGTGTCCGTTCAAGAGAGAGACAGGCAGAGAGGAAGGGGATACTGAACGAGACACAAAACGGACACCCACACGCACACACGAGATAAAGAGAATACCGCATTTCGAGACGGGAGGGAGGGCTTGACCAAAGAAGCCCGAAAAAGAAACAATAGTGGCGCAACACAACCGCACCACACCCGAAATCCCCCACCGTCACCCAACACGAAGGCCTAGAAAAAACGAAAACGGTGCCATGACACCAAAACAACGGGGTCCGTTCGAACGCCGGGCGCCTAACCGCGGAGCCCCCTGAGGGGGCGGTGCGGGGGGAGTCGGGTTTAACTTGATTTCTCTGATCCAAGACTTTTCGAAAACAAACAGCAGCGACAACAACAACAACAACAACAACAACAAACCAACAACCAAAGCGGTAGCACACTGCTCCATCATGTTCCTCTCGTGCAACGCGATACCTAACGACTCAACCCCACGCACGCATGCATGCATGCATCCCAGTACTACAACTAGTATAACTTAGCCCTCGCGTTCCTTGTTCCCGAACGCACGGGTCTCTCAGATCCAATAAAAAGCGCGAGAAAGAAAAAAAGAAACAAAAATAAAAATAAAAACAGCCCACAATGAAAAGTCTAAACACCTACGCACACGCACGAAACGAGCGTGCGGGGTGGTGACATGATTTCAAACTCGCTGTTGTTCCACTCTTTTAGTGCCTGCGCACCGTAACGAGAGCTTTGTTTTGTTTTTTTCCGAGGCGATCGATCCCAAAGCACAAAACCGCTGGTAGATGCGATTTCTACCCCGAAAGTCGGAGAACCGGCCACCGAATCTCCGAAAAGGAAAGACGTAAATCATCATCATCACGTCTCTTTCACCACTGCGTAGAGGACGGCGATCATGCCAAGCAGCAGGAGAATGCACATGATGTCCATGCAGAACTTGTCTGCCGAACGGACGTTCTTGAGGACCTCCTGTGGTCGTGTCAATTTTCATTGTTCGGGCGGCGGCAGCAGCAGCAGCAGCGGCGGCGGCGGCGGCATCAGAGGCAGCGAGCAACGGCATCGGCAGGGTCAAGAGCAGCGCCGGCAAGCAGCTGTTGAACAGCAAGCAGGGAGTTTCATGACCTTTATGGGTGTATCCGTGCGCACTGGTAACAAACAGCCGTGCCAACAAGCAAATACCTAAAGACGGTGCGGCGCAGATCGAGGAGAAAAGGTCGGGGCGAATTAGCACAGGGGGATGCAGAAGGGGGCAATGGGGGTTGGAATTGAGAGCGGCATCATAGACTAGACAATTCAACGGCTAAACTGTCGAATTCAACGACTGCTGTGGTCATAATGGACAAATACAAAAAAAGAGCCCCCTACAAGTAAACAAACGTGTCCCGCACACGTGCTACTACCGCTACTATAGGCAGCAATAGTGTTGGCAGATAGACAGAAAACACAGAAAAAAAAAAAACGTCCTATTACCGCTGTGTACGCTACCGGAGCAAGGCAGGCAGGCAGGTCCACCACGTGCACCTAACCCTCACCTTCATCCGCATGTTGACGTTCGCAACGTGCTCTTGGGCCGTGTCGATCCGGTTGCCCAGGTCGTCCACCATCCGGTCCTGGATCTGCAGCTCCTCCTGGATGTTCTTGGCCATCTCCCCGAGCCTGTCCACGTGCTCCTCCACCACCGTGAGGTACTTGTCCTCCATCTCCTTCTTGCGGTCGCGGATCTGCACGCACACGCCCCCCCCCCCCCCCCCCCGAAAAAAAAAAAAAAAACCCCCCCCATATAATAAAAAAAAAAAAGGGTTTTTTTTGGGACTGAAAACACACCCCCCCCCCCCCCCCAAAAAAAAAAAAAAGGGGGGGGTGAAAAAAAAAAAAAAAAACGGGGGTTTTCCTTTTTTTTTTATATTTTTTTTTTTGTGTGCCAGTTGGGGCCGGGGAAAACAAAAAAAAAAAAAAAAATTATTTTTTTTTTTTTTTTCTTCCCCCCAAAAGGGC